AACTTATTTGTTTCATGCTAATTAAATATAAGAAACAAATATTTAAGAAATCCTTGCTTTTGATCTGAAATATTTCCTAAATATGTATGTAATATTTTGTGCTATCTGGGTAATGTCTTCAGTTATAGCACTGATCTTCCACTCTTCACAGTTATCGACTCAATGACACGTTTAAGTTGGTGGAACCCCTCGAAAACAGGGTCTAAAACTTGAAGCGTTTGTCAACAAGCCTTTTTGTTAACTTCGTGAGTTATTGAGTTAATCCTTAGTGGACAGTCAGCGTGCTAAAACATGTTGCCTCTAAGTTACTAAACATGACCCGAAAATTTGTCTTCATCCTCCAGGCAACTGAATCAACCGCGTTGAGCACCCGAACGGTAAATGCTAACTAATGCAAAAGGTAAAGGTTGAAAAATCGAGCAAAACACCAAATGCAGACGAGATAAAGTGCGGAAGCTGCGTGAAACACCACCATCATGCAGATCAAACGGGCACGATTCTGGGCCTCACCGCTAGAAACTTTTTGATCTTTTCATCGAGAATCGCCTGCTTGCTCAACGTTTCGGACAGTTTGTCCCCATCAGAACTATCCTGCAGACTTCCTGAAATTATCCTAGATTTAGGTGGGGATGTTTAAATAAAATCAAGATCAGAGCGTGGGATTTTTAGTCAAAATTTTACTTTTTTGGGGATGGAACTGAGTCCAATACTCCCACTATTTAGGGCCATCTGTTCTTCATTGAAATACTTAAAAGTTCTTCATTAGTTAACGCGCTTTGCTTGTGGGGAAAACTGCTGAAAAAACCTGGAAAGTCACGCATAGATTTCCTGGGAGACGCAGAAACTTACCTTCTCGCGACAGTAAACCAACGTAAAGACCCCATGGGAGCAACAACCTTGCATAGTTTTTTTGAAAAACCTCAGCTTTTCCAATCAACTTTAGCGCTTAGGAGCTAGCAAAGAACGTACCTTTTTCGCTATCGCGATCGCTGCTGTACTCGGGCGTGCTCTTCAGGTCCTCCTCCGAGCTGGAGTATGAGTGAAGTTGCAGTTGGGGAGGCGGAGCCGTCTGATGATGGTGTTTGGTTTGCCTCTTGTGCTTCTTCGTCGCACTGGCTTGGCCCTGCAGGCGCTCCTGCCGGACATCTGGCTGATTAGCCGGGTTCTGATCCGGATATCTGAGAATTTTAACCCATAAGTTCCACTGCGTCCAGCTCTTGGGGAACGGAACTTACATTCGAGGCAGCAAGTGAGGATGGGCGCGCATCAGTCCTTCTAACTCTCCTTGGTAGAACATCGGGTCTTCCTCGTTGTACTGTTTGTAGCGGTCGCAAGAGGGCGTGCGCGACTGCTCTTCTGAGTACTGGCGCCTCAGAACGCTCCCGGATCTAGACAACAGTCATTGACTAAAAAGTTGAGTTGAAACCCAGTTTGGCACCTTTGGAGCGGCTGATTTTCCTTCTCGGCAGCCGAGTGCGCTCGTTCCAGTTTAGGCCGCTTGTCCGACTGGATCACCGAGGCCAACATGGCGCTTTCTGGATCGGAAATGACTGCCTGCATGCCACCTTGCATCCATTGGCCGGTCCGACCGAGCAGCTCTTGTTTTTTGCGGCAAAGAATGCATACCCAAACCGACTGAAACAATACGGTGTTTTCACTTTTTTCTAATGTTTATACATATAGAGAATGTAGTTATGGCAAACATTACACTGATATGATTTTTTTTGCAAAACAGTATCCATAATAATTTTAAAGCGAATTTAAATTCAAATCAGATATTTTCCGCCAAAAACGCCGAATTCGTATCGTCGGTTGCCTATCCCGACTGTGACGTAGCAGGTCATATCAGCAAAGTGTCTCGTGTTTATTTTGTTGTTTTATTATTTAAGTTATTGTGATTATCCTTATTTTATTGATTATTATTATCTTGCATAATGGAAAATAGTGACATGTATGGATCACAAAATAAGCGGTGTTTTGTGCCAGAATGCAAGAATACCTCAATAAGTGCTCCAAACAAACTCTTTCTAACCGTTCCCCATCATTATGCACGTAAAGTTTTATGGTTCAAAGCAGCTGGACGTGATGTTCCTAAATCAAAATCAATGTTTTTTTGTTGCGACGATCATTTTAATGAAGGTACGAACAAAAAGCTAATAATGAGACAGATGGAAAATGCCTTCGATCGTAATTTGTGTTCTTGCAAATTCTACCTTGTACAGTGCACAAAGAACCCTCGCGTTTCAATTCCACATATCCGATATCACCCTATTGTTCTCGTGATGCTCAAAATACAAATTTAAGAGTTCATTTTACTTTTAAAGCAGCCATGTGTTAGGTTAAGTTTAATAAGTGAAATTCTATATATTATTTACCTAATTTAAACCATTGCAGACAGATTAGTATATTAAGGAGAGTGTAACTAATAATAATTTTACGGATTTTTACTTTCGCTGCTGCTCTGACACCCTTAAATCCGGCTGAATTGAAGCTTTCGTCGTTTTTTAAAAATTCGGTAACTATAAAAATATGTACACATTGTAAAGTGTTTGTTGACGCTTTAAGGAAGCCTTCTGAAGCCATTTTTAGTTTAACAGAAACTATAA